CAATGTACGGTGAAATAATCAACGGGTCTTACGTGCCATCCCCACCAGGTCCAACATATTTCTAATCAATTTATAAATTTCGGAATTCTGGATATTAAATGAGTGGTAGGAATATCGAAATTCCGTAATCACGAACTACCACCCACAGATGAAAAAGTTGTGAAGTTTAATCGTGTTTCGGCTCCAATCTGTGGATTTCCGAATATCCAAAGCCAAAATAGGTAATGAGCGCATCTGGTTTAGGTGTTATGTGGTACTTTACCTACCATCAAGTGACCCGGTTGCTCTGTCGTGAGAGGATTCAGCGCGTCGAAGGGTTTTTCGACGAAACTTTGCTTAGTAGTTCCGTAGTTTACGTGAGTTAAAAAAAATGCGGTTTAAAATGCGAATTATATTTGTTACTTTAACAAGGCAGCAGTCCGGTCACGTGACTGAAGATGTGGTGTATCCCTATTAAAGTCAAATCTACTCCAGATACCAACTACGACGAAGATGGCGCTAGCGTAGCAGATTATTAAATAAAATTAAGAGAGTACTTTCTCTTTTCAAAACATTAGGTTGAAACATATGACATCATTAATTGATGTAGGTTAATTGCTTGTCGTTAATAAAACCGAGTGCGCCGTGCCACCTCCCACTTCTGATTAATGGGGGGGGATGATAACTCGTCCATTCGTCCTTACTAAAATATAAAACTGAAGAGTTCGTTTGTTCAAACGCGCTAATCTCAGGATCTAACGTATATATAAATAAATAAAAATATTTTTGTGCTCATCAGAACATTTATATATTCGTTGTTAAAATGAGGGAATGTCATCTTTGTATCCGCCTTTGTTTGATTTGATTTGGCTGCCCAAAATTTCTACGCGGACGAAGTCGCTGACACAGCTAGTTCACTCATGATATTTAGGGTCTTATCGGAAATTTACGAGTCTCTTAGGCCTCGACGAAACCGTATACCTGGAGCTATATAATAAGGTACATTTATATAAAACATTTTAAGTCGGTTTAAAGGACGCGATATAAATTAGTTCCCCCGTGACCACGGCTGCTGCAAAGCATCCGAAACTTATTTGAAAATGATTTTCAAAAATTTAACTGCGTTTTAAACCTTAAAGTGTTTTATTTAAACACATTTACCGTTATAAAATTTATTTTCGGCCCGACGTATCGGATTGTTTGCAGTAGCCGTTGACATGGGGGACTGAAGGTGGAGGGTGTTCCTTATCTTAAGCCTCATCTGCTACGCCAACCCCATCTATTTCAGCGTAGTATCTCCAATATCAAATTGTAGTTTGAACCGTTGTTAAAATAAATGTAAAGTAGTTAAATAATATGTTTCCTGTTAAAACCGTTAAATGTTTTATTGAAATGTGCACTACCAGTAGTTAATATTATTTTCAAACAAGTTCAACTAATACATATCGCGTTTTAAACCGTTGACGTGTTTTATTTAAATAACTGAAGTTCTAAAAACATACTCACTATGAAATCTAAAAGTCAAATAATCATAAAACACAGTTAATACATATGTATGTATTCTAGTCCAAAATTTAAGTAAGTGCATTCGTTCTGCATACAATTTCCACCAGAACATCGCATTGTACATTAATAAATTAAATTTTAATTTTAAATGAACGAAACAGCTTCCGCTGTGAAGCTAAGCTGTATCATAAATCAATGTATAGCAACAGAAGAAGCAACTAGCTTTAAAATACTCGGAAGTTTAATACTAATATATTTCAATTATTTAAAAAATACCTTTACAAATAGTTAACGTAAATAGTGTCTCTAGGCGACGCGAAATAATTTAGTTAACTTATCTGTATAATTTAAAATATATGAAGTACCCCCGTGACCACAACTGCAAAGCATCCGAAATGGTGGGCCGTAGTCAAAATAAATCTTAAATAAGTTTTTTTTTAATTTTGCGAGTTACACCGTTAAAAGTGTTTTATTCGATACTACCATAAAGTTGGAGAGATTGTTTGTTTGTTGACGCGCTAATCTCAATAACTACTGGTTCGAAAAGTAATATTTTTGTGTTAGTTGAAGAATTTATCGAGGAAGGCTTTAACTCATAAAACATCTTCACGGGTTTCCCTTGCGTGCGTTACTTAAACGGTTCAAGATACCAAAAAAAATATGTAAGAAAGAATGATTCCTCTTAATTTAAACATGTCCGGAATAATATATGACTACCTTTTAAGATAAACTCGTATTAATCTTGCCGAATCAGCTATAACATACTGACGTAACAGCAATATTTTGAGCTCTAGAAACGCCGTAAAAGTGAAAAGTTTCTTGACTCAACTCCAGGGCACGTCTCGTGTTGAATTTCGACAAATGAATTATTGTTTTAAAGAATCAAAGTCGAGATAAAGAGTCTATACAAGCGCTAGTTGGCAGAGCCCTCGCGTTCCCGCCAAAACACGACGCGGTCGCCATCTTGATAAGAGCTTCGTTGTCTATGACTCGCGGGAGTACTGCTGCTCTGTGCATTATTGTAGTAGCTTTTAAGAGAAAAGACATTTATTTCTATCGGTGTGTATTTATTTTATATAATACTAGCCGTGATCGTGACTTCGTCCGAGTGGGAAAGTTTTACAAACTACCTCCTCATCTTTATAAATTATAGCTGTGTAAGCGACTTCATCCGCGATCCAAATTCGTTTTTGCAAACCTCTATAAATTTAAATATTAACGACAGTTGGCCCTTGCAAGTTACCTTTATAAACGGCCGAAATTTTTAAGATATTAAAAAAAGCTATACGTACGCCTCGGAATCCCATAATGATGAATTTTCCCAACATTTTTCTCTGTTCTCCTAGGCCGCTGCGTGTTCTTGTAAAGCCTAAATCTTCCAAAATTGGTCGATATAAGACAAATTTTTACTTCAAAGCAGTAATTCCTGAGATTATCGCGTTCCAGCAAACAACTCTTCAGCTTCATAATATCAATACAGATATAAAATTCTCGTGTCACAGTGTGAGTTACTATGCTAAAAAGGTTGTAAAGGCGAAAAAAAAAAAAAATTTTTTTTTTATTTGAACTAAGATTCGATGTTTTAGGCGCAGTAGCTGTATTCACGGGGGATTTATTTATTTCGTGTTATAAACCGTTATAAGTCTTTTCAATGGTTACTAATCGATTCTTAAGTGTCAGTTAAGTTTCCCAGCCGAATTAATCGAATTTTAAATTAAATGATTACTTTGAAATAACAATAAATATCTTTAAACGACGTTAAATGCTTCGCAACGCACAGACGCATCGCGTTTCCGCTGAGCTTAACAATTTGATACACGCCTGTCGTTTCCACTTTGTCTTAGTTCCTGCAAGATAATTTATAGTGTCTTTTTCGATAACGCGATAGTACATTGATTTAAATGTTTATATAGAAAAGTAATTTAAAATATAAATGTATTTTTAATGTTTAAATAAAACACTTTAACGGTTAAAACGATATATTTTAGTTAAACCGTTAAAGTGTTTTGTTTAAATGTGTACTACTCGCGTAAACTAAAGACCGTATTTGTATTTTTAATGTTTCAACTCAGAATTGATCATGTGCAAAAACAAATTGTAAAAAAAAAAAGGGAGTCTTGGTAGTGCAATTGGTTAGAGAACAACGTGTGCCGCTTTAAGTCTTGAAATTTTTAAGTTTTCAACCTTAATAGAATTTTAACAGTTTAAAACGCGAAGTATAGATGTTAAGCTACTTTAAATTTATTTTCACCTACGGTTCGGATGCTTTGCAGTGGCCGTAAAGGCTGAACTAATATATTTTGTGTTTCACACCGTTAATCGGGCCTCTTATATCAGTAGTAGGAATGACCAGTCGACTATAATTATTAAATAATTATTAAAACAATTTTTAAAAAAATAACGGTTTAAAACGTTAGGTTTCCAGTACCTGTGGCCACTGAGAACGTCGGCGTCGAAGCTTAACTAAAAATACCTAAGTATAATTCGTTTGAAACCGTTTAAAAGTGGGTTATTGACTTACCTTAGTTTTATTATTACCCTCCTACATTTCTATTTCGCCTTTTAAACTAGAAACTTACAGCTTCATTCCAGCTAAGCTTAGCTGGGGCGTTATTACGAATTGTTTTCAAGACGTCCAACTAGCAACCGATATCACAAATACTCACTCTACCCAACAACAGTTCCTTGCCTCATACAAAGGTAATAAAACGCTGTCCACTCGCGAATTCCTCGTACGAAGCTTTGGACTCTCTGAAATTCTGAACTGAGTTTTCCGTCCACCCGCATTCCGGTGTGTTTCGCGGTGCGGCTGGCGACTTTTGTCGTTGGAGCGAGAGGTTTTTTGTTTTTATATGGAATGACGAACCTTAATAAATTATCTCCCTTAAGTCTTTTGTTATATATTAGTAACATGAATTGACAAACCCGGTGTCATCTTTGTATAGTCCACTTGTAGACTTTTCCTTATGTATACATATTTAAAACATATTAACCGTTAATAGTATATACTACGGTTGACGTCGTGACGTGGGACCGTAATATAATAAAAAATAAGTTTTAAACCGGTGAACGTGTTTTATATAAATGTTTAATTGTGTAAAGTCCTTATCAATATTTTATTAAAAGTTTAATTTTTTACTGTGTGAGGTTATGTAGTTAATTTCTTTCTTATTCCTAGGTTACCTTTATCCCTCTTATAATCCGTGGTTTTCGTCAGGCAATAATTCTATTTCTTTTAATTAAAACAGCGTACCCGACAAAGTATTCGGAACGTCGGACCATAGTTAAAAAAAAGTTTCAACCCGACCCCGTTAAAAATTCGCGTTTTACACCGTTAAAAGTGAAATGAAAGTATGTCGTTCAAGTAGTATACAATACAACACTTCATTTTGAAATCACATTAATTATATAATTGAATAATAAAACTGTTACCTCATACACACGGTACGAAGCGTGGTATAAAATGTATAATGTTCGACAAATAGTCCATTCTATATTGATATAGTGGGGTTCGGATGGTCCTGGGGGAAATGATCGGGGTAAAAGGTGATACAATAGCAGGTACTTGTATATACGAATATAACAAGTAGTTAGGAGTGTATTCTTCGTTTGAATTTTAAATTATTCATATTTTTTAAATTTGGAATTATGTGCAATGTGTATGAATGTATGGCTGAAAATCAAAAAGAGACATCGCGTTTCTCCCCAATGAGCATGGTGCAGCATCACCCCATGGTGAACACATTTCTATGTCCGTCTTAATGCTTAAATAAAAATATTTAGGTTCGATTTCCATCAGGTATAATCTGTTTGTATAATAAACAACATGTTTATTAGTCGATAGAAGAACATCAACGCGCAATATATTTTTAAACCGTTAAAAATGTTATATATTAGAAAACCAGCTAACGCGATGAGACTATCCCTGTGTACATTTCCCGTTTTAAACCGTTAAAAGTCTTTTATTTGAACGTAAGTTTATTTTACCAATTTACCAAGACCAACCGCGTATACATTGCGCCTTTCAAACCGTTAAAAGCGTTCTATTTAAATGTAGGTTCAATTAAACCGAAAGTTAAGCGAAACTTCTATATATTTATCAAATATTATCTCTCGGGACGTTCCCATTCAAAGCGGGTATCCACTTACTGATACACTATATGTTGGTAATAAACCATAAATTTTGGACCACCTTTGTTTACATAAGTAATTTACGGAGGTGTATTGCCGATGTCGTTATTCCCACGGGACGCGTATCTGTGGACCTGGCTTGTAATAGATAATTCATGTACATGTGCACATGTGGGTGTGTATGTTCACACATACATGTACACATTCACATATACACGTTACGAGCACACTAGGTAGACGTGCTAGCGTCATGAAAATCAAAAAGGAAATGAGTCTGTAGTTTACACGACTGCATTTAAATAAAACAGTTCAAACGGTTTAAAACGCGTTTTATTGACTCATTTGTTAATCACATCTGCCGAAACGTCGAGGCGTTAAAATTAAGTTAACTAATTTATTTCGGTTTAAAGACATATATTTCTTATTTAAATAAAAAAAAGTTTCTCATGTAAGCGATTTTTTTTTTGTAATTTAAATGGAAACTAAATGCCTTTAAACGTATATATTTCGCGTTTCAAACCGTTAAAATGCCATTAAATTACTACTTATCTGGATTGGATATGTCTGACGGGCAGCAATGTATGGCTAATAATGGGTCGTGGGTTCGTTTCCCGTTCCGTTCATTCGAAGATCAAAACACCGTCAAGCTTAACCGCGTTTTTTTTTCTGTGGATTTATTAATGTTATTTGGCGATACTTGCTTTATAGTTACATTTGTAAATAAGGTTAACTAATACATTACGCGTTTTGAACGGTTAAAAGTGTTTTATTTATGTCTACTACTCGCGTAAACTACAGACAGTATTTTATTCATTGCGTGTATGTAATACAAGTGTGGTAGCACCGTTTCGTAATCAATTTGCCTAATGGCGACATCTTTTACTCGCTCGTCCTTTATTACTTCGTCAATCGAAGCCCAAACGAAATGGATTAACGAAAATAAAGCCTAAATACGCCGACAATCGAGCCAGTTGTAATTTTTCACACTGGAGGCCTTTACAATTTTTTATTCCACCATCAGCTAGTTGAATGAAAGTTTTCGACTGTATTTTTACATTTCGAAATGGAAGCGCGTTAAGTAACACATTTTTACATTCGTGCCGACCTAATTTCTCTATCCGAACTTATTTTTGGTTGTTAAAATACATTATTATTTAAAATGTCAGTTTTAAAATTAAACTAATCGATATATACGTCTAATCATTGAATCCTACCGGCGATTTTAGTGTACAGCAATAATTTTTTTTAAGAAAAATTTTTTTTTTTTTTTTAAAATTTTGCTTTTAATTCTTACCGGGTTTTATGTTAAACATGTCGATTTTTACGGTTTTAAACGTGACACATATTAGTTAATTTTACAGTACTGCCACTGAATCATACCGGGGATTTAGTGTAAAGCATTAAATATGTCGATTTTAACGGTTTTAAACGCGAAACATATTCGTTAATTTAAAAATACAGTAATCACACGTTTTGAAGTGTTTAACGTGTTTGTTTAATACTAGCTATGCGAGCGACTTTGTCAACGTAAATTAGTAATTTTGACTATCTTAATTTGTTTTTACCAACCTTCTCCTTTATTTAAATATAACACTTTAACGGTTTAAAACGCGATATATTAGTTAAACTTATTTAATAACAATATATCGCGTTTTAAACCGTTAAAGTGTTTTATTTAAATGTGTACTACTCGCATAAACTATTTAATATTAACGTGCAAAAACGACGGGAACGGACGCCCGACGGTTTGCAAGAACGAATTTGGATGGCCTAAATAATATTATTGTCAGGGACGAATTCGTCTGGCACAGCTAGTTTATGATAGAATCCCCACTTTTGAAAGTACTAATTTAAAACCTCCCATATAAGGGCTAACGAATAAACATATCGTACGCGAATAGAATAACCATTTACCAATTAGTTCGTAATGAAAACAATTTACAGCCGCGGTCGTTATGCGGCGTGTCTCAATTATTTTGCCCTTCGCGCGAAACGCTTGCCAAATCTGGTTTCAGGGCGCGCTTTTGTCCTTATTGAATTTTTATGACGCACATATTTGGAGTACTGAATGCTTTTTATCCACCGTCGAACTCAGATTATTTATTTAACAACATAAAATGGATTGCAACACCGCTTACTGCCTGTAGTTTACTCGATTAGTGCACTTTAACGGTTCAAAACGCAAAAGTTGAACTCATATATTTCGCGTTTTTAACCGTTAAAATGTTTTTTGGCCCTTCGCCCGCGTCTATTTTGGACATCCAAATTTGTTTTTTCAAACCTTCCCTTGATCTTCATTACTTTAAGCTGTTACCCACGACGTCTAAAGCGTCCCGTCATTCATTCGTTCTTGCAAAGTTATTCTTAAAAGATAGAACTATAATGTTGCGGATCTTTTTTTACATCATTTAAAATTTTGTAAATTTTTGCTCTGTCGTTCTTTAGATCTTTCTTTATTATTGGGTATCTTGAACCGTTTTCGCAGCGTTAGCAACCCATAGAGTTAACAATTTTCGTTAGAGTAGTAGTGATGTGAGGTGAGAGTGTTGCGGCAAAGTAGCACTTACGACACATACAGACACACATACAGATTGGCTGCGATAAATGCGCAATTACATAAATTAATAAACAACCTAAATAATTAAAAATTCTACCCCAAGTCACTATTCCACGCGAACGAAGTCGCGGGCACAGCTAGTAATAAATAATAATCACACAAAAAGAAGGAAGAAAGAAATTTATTGACTACTAAGGCTAGAAACATACAGACTTGTTACTAAAATTTAAAAAAAAACAAAACATAATTTAATCTTAATAAAAACAGCATAAAATAATGTCGTGTGCTGCTAGTAGAATAGGATCTTAAATACTGTCTGTAGTTTATGCGAGTAGTACACATTTAAATAAAACACTTTAACGGGTTAAAACGCGATATATTTGTTTGAGATTTGTTTTTAAGTACGGCCCGACGTTTCGGATGCTTGCGTGACCGCGGCTGCTGCGAAGCATCGGACACGTCGGGCCGTAGTTAAAAATATTTCTCAAACAAGTGTAAGTAAAATATATCGCGTTTTAAACCGTTAAAGTGTTTTATTTAGAATAGGATCTTACTCAGCGTATATCAGGCCCTCTGTTGACCTGAGACTGATTTTTTGTAAGTCCTTAGATGTGGAGAAGAAAAATCATAACGTCACAGTCGGAGACGAGCAGTTTTCGGCACTTCGAGCTGTTTAAAATTGAAGCTGCACAAAAAGCGTCAATTCTGCTAACCGTACACGCGGCGCCTACAGCGCGACAATAAAATGCATATTAGATAACAGTATTTTGTTGTCTGTACGTGTTGTGGCGTACGTGCTAGCCCCGAAGTTAGGCCATTCCGGAGGCCTGTATGACTGGATATTGAGAATTGTTAGTTTAGTGCCAGAAGCTGACTGAAAATTGGCTATCAATATGAGAAATGTCATTGACTTTCGGTTGCCGGGTTATGTCCTGGTGGAAATATTGTTTCAATAATGCTGCTTATCGGGATGCGAGTTTGAATTATGTCGTACAGTTTTTAATATACTGGTTGGTAGTACCTGGTACGGTTTCGATGTGTTATACACATCGAAACCTACCAGTTTCGATGTGTATAACAGTACGAACGGGTACGAAGACTAAGTCTGGCGCAATGTTACTTAGACGGACAAATACTGTTGCGGATATTTTGACTATTTAAGGGATAATAATTCTATTATATTTTTTCGGAATCTCGTACCGTTTAAATAAAACATTTTAACGGCTTGAAACGCAAAATATTTTATTTTAATATTTGTTTATTAAATATTAAGTTTAACTAATATATGTGCGTTTTAAACTGTTGAGCTGTTTTATTTAAATAAGTTATTTATTAAATCAAACACGAATATTTTAACAGTACCTAGTTCAAATATTTAAAAATATTTTCACTGCTCAGTAGACGTGAAATCGTCGGGTGAAATAACCACGGGTAGTTAAAATACATTTCGCGTTTTAAACCGTTTACAGTGCTGTATTTAATTGTATACTACTCGCGTTGACTACAGACAATACTTATATCAAATTAGTTATATGCATATAAACACATGGATCGAAATTAAATTTCAGCTCTGCGCTTCACAATATCTCTCAAATGCAAGGTGACATGTGTACAACATGTGAATTGGTTCCGTACAAACTTATCTTAGCAATTTCGTTCACGATAGTTAAAATTAAAGTTTAAAGTTTGTCTCAGTTTTACCACGTACGTCTGTATGCAAACGTAACTTTGCTCAACGAAATATCGTGTACGGAGAAGACATTATACAAATTATATAATACTATCTGTGTCAGCGACTTCGTCCGCAAGGAATAGTTATTTTGGGCATCCAAATTTGTTTTTGAAAAACTCCTATACAATTTTTAAACTTAAGTCACGACGTCTGTCGCATCCTGTCGTTCTTGCAAGTAGTCCCGGACTTCTTTTTAGATCATTTAAAGAGAAATCATTATTTTACACATATTTTTGGAGTATTGAACCGTTTTTGCAGCGTACGCAACAGAAACTCATAAGGATGAATGATTCTCCCCGTCTCTTCCACATTTCCCGCTGTTTCTTCGTGTCTATTAGTCATATCGCAATAATATTGTTTCAATTAGAACCAGTAGTTCCTAAAATTAGCACATTCAAATAAACAAGCTTAATAATAGTAGTGTCAATGTCAAGTGTCAGTTGTCAACTGCCCAATGTCAATTGTCAGTTGTCAATGTCACGCGTCGTTTCCTTAAAGATTAATTTGCGTAAATAAACCGTGTTTTATGAATAAATTCGAGACCATTGAGCCATGAATACGCCGGTGGCTTTGAAAGCGGTAAACGTTTTTTGATATGAGAAAAATGGGGTCAATTTCAAATGGCGTCCATTCAATCTGGCTTTCTGAATGAGTAGAAGGCTGTACTAATGCGCTAAGCCAGACGTGGCGATAACCTATATGCGGTGTTGGATTGCAAATAAAAAGTAATGCTAAGTTTACGCTCGGATTGGTCTAATGGTAGCAATAAATGGCTTTTAATCAACGGTTCGTAGGTTCAAACAATGTTTCTAGGTATCTTGAACCGTTTTCGCAGCGTACGCATCTGAAACCCACAGAGATGGAAAATGTCCCCCGTTTTGTTCACATTTCCCGCTGTATCTTCGCTTCTGTTAGTCACAACGCGATGTTTTATAGCCTATAGCTTTCTTCGATAAATGTTTTATCCAATAATTTTTCAATCCGAACCCGTAGTTCCTGAGATTAGCGCGTTCAGCGACTTAGGATAATTATTTTGGACAACCAAATTCGTTTTTGCCACCCACGATGTCGGTTGCGTCCCTTCCCGTCGCTCTTAAGTGGGATTCAGTCTGTGACTTTCACAATATTCAAAGCCGGGAGCGGGTCCCTAGTGTCAAAGTAAAAAACTGCTACGCCATCACCATCTGCCTGCTTTAAGTCGTTTTTTAATTTGATAAGACCACCAAAACAAAGTAAATAAGTTTAACCAATACATTTCGCGTTTCAAACAGTTAAGTGTTTTATTTAAACTCTTCCTATAATAGGCAATAGCTAGAATGCTGCTTCAGATAAATTCGATTTGTATTACAAAAAGCCTCAAAGGCGCTTCGAGACAGATTCGCGACAAATAGAAGAAACGGAATATAAAATACAATTACTACTTTTTCAATCTATTTCCTTCTTAAGCATTTAACGGCTAAAAACACGATTTTTTTAATTCACTAGCTGTGCCAGCGACTTCTTCCGTATAGAATAGCTATCTTGGGCTTCAAAGTTTGTTTTTGCAAACCTCTTCATCATTAAAACTGTTACTCACGACATCAGTCGCGTCCCTTCCCTTTGTTCTTGCAAGGTAATCTTAAATGATAGACATAAACTGTCGGGGACATTTTTTTATATCTTTTAAAGATAAATAATTATTTCTTACATAAGTATTTTTTTGGATATCTTGAACTGCTTTCGCAGCGCACTCATGAAAACCCATCAAAGACGAATAATTTCCCCCTTTTTTTTCACATTTCCCACTGTTTCTTCCTTCCAATTGATTGCAGAGTGATGTTTTATCTCCTAAAGCCTTCTGTGATATATTCCCTAGTCAACACAATAACATTTTTTTAATTCTTACCAGTAGTTCATGAGATAAGCACGTGCAAACGAACATGGAAGTTTTAAAAACTAATTTTGACACCCAAATTAACAAATCCACGCGGGCAGAGTCGCCGGCGCAGCACTAGCTTCACATTTTGACGTTTCCTTCATAATTCCATTTTCAAATGCAAACTCTAATTTCAAATCATTCTTGTTTCAGACACGGGTCGCGCTAAATCTCCGGTCCATAGTAATGACGCGAGTTGGTTGAAGCCAAGTTATTGCAGCACGGTTCCAGATCCTTCACCCTGGCGGGGTACACCCGGCACGCAGTGTACGCGGGCGGCGCAAGCACATATCATGCGCGCTCGCCCGCCGTACCGCTTAACGCAAGTAAGTGAACCTAGATATCAAACGGCTAAGCGCGAGTCGGTTTCGCGCAAATCTCCCGTATATAAGAACTGTCGTGTACAGTCCAACAACAGCTGAGTTATGAACAATACTCTTTAACGACCTTTTTTACGACTTTACATGACAAAGGTGTGATTAAACAATAATTTGAAATCTCCCATTGAGATATGCTTATATAACTTACCTTTCCCCTAAAAAAGTTTAATATTTTTAAAAATCGATAAAAGAATAGTTATTTACATTACATACATCTTTATAAATTTAAGCCGCCCACGACATCGGTCCCGTCCCATCGCGACTCGTCGTTCGGGTCCCGTAATAAATGTCCGCGACAGTAAAGACATATAGTATCGCGGACATTTTTTTTAGATTATTTAAAGAAGAACATTCTGTCATACATATCTTTTGGGGATGGCTTGAACCGTTTTCTTAGCGTACCTACTCATCTGAAACCTACAGAGATGAAAAATTCCCCCGTTTTGTTCACATTTCTCGCTGTATCTTCGCTTCTATTAGTCACAGCGCGATGTATTAGCCTATACCTTCCTCGATAAATGTTCTAACCAACACAAACGTAATTTTACAACTCGAATCCGCAGTTCCAGAGATTAGCGCGTGCAAACAAACATACAAACTCTTTAGCTTTATATGATGTGAATTAACTATACAAACAATTAGTACAAAATAACACCACAAAGTTATCTCCTCGTAGGCGATTTTGTCTAAGTTATTTAAAAGAGAGTTCACTATGTACTGAAATGATATCTGTAAAATATCTAATAAAATATTTTTATAATGCTTATAAAGTCTCTGTAGTTTACGCGAGTGGTATTCCAGTTGAAGAAAACACTTTAACGGTTTAAAACGCTTAATATATTAATTAACTTACTTTTAATTCCCCATATGACCACGGTCGCTTCTTAGCATCCGAAACGTCGGGCCGTAGTTAGAAAAATAAAAATAATTTAACTAATAAATTGCGCGTTTTACTTTACAACAACAATTAGTTTTAAATATATTTTTCTGAGTCCGTTTTGTAAATGTTCAAACGATATTTTTCCGAGATTACAAACTTAGGCCTCAAAAAACTAACTTAGGTCTTAAAAGCATCGGCACGAACTTTGACGATGGCGGTTCAAGTCGTGCCCGAGTCGAAAATTTACTCAATTTATTTTCGATTTTTAAAACGATTTTTTTTTTAATCTTTCACCAATTTTCCGATTGTAATGAAGAGAAATACGAAACACTAAACGCAATAACTATATTTCCCCCTAATAACGTTGTTGCGGCATAATTAACTTGTTTCATTAATTACCAAATAACTTGTTATACCAATAATCATAATAGACAATTGACCGACGAGGCTTTGTACTAATGTATTGGCTAATATTGTGTACCGTCAGCATAAACGATTCAAATGGTATTTATCGTATAAACCTTATTTTGACGTGTTCATGTGCTTTTCTAAATTTCTGTCCTCTATCACACAGTAATATCGATTATCATCATAAACATGGTAATCATTAAACAACATATACAATCTTGACAGTTAAAACTGGAAATATACTTAAATCGCGCTACGGTTGTCGTAGATGTGTCACCGACTTTGTACGCGTACATTATTTATTTTGAGGTTAAAATTAGTTTTTACACCTCCTTTATTTTTATTTTACCACAACGTCGTCCGCGTGCCGTTGTAATCTTTAAAGATATATATATGTCTATGATACTGTCGCTGACCTTCGTCGTTTAAAGATGTAGCGTTCTTCTCTACATATTTTTGGGTACTTCGAACCGTTTTTGGTAGGTAGGTATAAGGTTCCGTGGGCTACGGAAACCCATAATGATGAAAAATTTTGCCCGCTTTCTCCACATTTCCTGATGCTTCTTCGCTTCTATATATCACAGTTTTCTAGCCTATAGCCTTTCTCGATAAGTGCTCTAACGAATACAGAAAGGTTTTTTAATGCCCACCAGTAGCTCCTGAGATTAGCACGTTCAAACAAACAAACTCTCAGTTTTATATATTAGTATAGATTCCCTGAGATTACCGTCAGCGTATTACCATAAGCGATTAGCGTCAGCTAGTAAATGAATAAAAGTGATATCATTAAATGACGTTGCTGACGGTACAGATTGTATCGCAGACTAATCTGTCAGTTCACACGTCACTTCTATGAAAGTGAACGACCCATATAGCGTTCGATTTGAAATGCCCATAAATAGAATATTAATGTTTCATGTAAGCTGTTTGAATTATTGTTTCCCGCGATGAAAGCTGGAACGATTTCAGCCATCTCGCTCCACCCCCTGGGGTGTAGCTATCTCATTAATACGAAGGTCGTGTGGTGAGGTCATACCTGGACATACAAGCATGGCGTTCCCTTGATCAAAGGTGAAATACCAGCCATATAAAATTTTACTAAAATGCGCGTAACGGATACATTCTAAAATTCGTTTTTAGATTGTAAAAAGTCTAAAATCGATTTCTAAAACTTTTTGTGCAATAACATGTGACAATAAAATTTTTACATTAAGTAGGTTCTAGTCCTGCCTGTGTCATCGATTTTTTTTAATTTAATTTGATTTTAATGGATTAAAAAAAAATCATCATAAATTCCGTACGGGTCGAGCTAAATAAAACCGTTATAAAAATATATATTGATTAGACACTCGTTGGACCTAGCGAGGATCCACGATCCGTTGATTTAGCCCTTCAAAATCCGTGGTGGGTCTTCTTTAATACCTGTGCCCAACAGTGGGACATCTGCAATTACAACGATAAATATCGTTCGCCATCAACAATTATTTCGAGAATTCCAGCTATTCCGAACAATTTAACGTCGGTTCTGCTGTACAATGGTGTTGAGGGAATGTAATATTGCATACGATCGTCTCTGAAGGTCTTTGCTAGATTAATGGCGATTGTATTGGTCTATTGAATGGGCATCTATTCTCTCATTACGCCCAATATCTTCGATAGAATGAAACGCAGGAGACGTGCGAAAGGACTTTAATAAATGAAGAATTGATTTATATTGTAAACATTTGACGACACAGGCGGGACCTGCTAACCAATTAATCTACCGTGCGTTAGAAATGATTGCAGCTGATGGAATTACAGAGGTTGACGGTTGAAAAATCGATTTTTAATTGATATATGTATAATGGTAAGATGCGAAATATATTAGTTAACATATTTAAAATTTATATTAACTCAAAGCCTGACGTTTTGGATGGTTCGCATTGTTCGGGGTGAAAGGTGTGGGTAGCTAAATAAAATAAAAATTAATATCCCACTATGGATACGATGGATGTTTGTTACTCTTTCACGCAAAAACTACTGAATGGATTTCAATTAAACTTTCCAATAATTTAGCTTATACATCAGAATAACACATAGGCTACAATTTATAAAGATATTGTGTGAGCTGTCCAAAATATGACATTAAGTGTCAAGTAACTAGGAAAAATCCTACCTTTCTGCGAGCTATTCTAGCGTGCGCCGCCATAAACGTTAGTTACACATAATTATGTAATGTATGATATGATAGACATCATTTAGTTTAAATGCGCGATACTACGTAATCCTAATCCTGCGTAGACGAAGTCGCGGGCACCAGCTAGTAACTAATAAATTTCGCGTTAGAAGCTGTTAAAATAGTTTTGTTTACGTAAATTGTAGCTTACGCGAGTAGTATACATTTCAATGGAACTGTCTTAACGGCTTTAAACTCGAACTTTAAATTTATTAAATGTATTTCGCGTTATACCTCTGCCCTACTAGCTTAGTTGTTTGTTCCGTCGGATTCATAGATAAAGATCAAGGTTCAAATACGGAATGTAAGGAAGCGCAAAATGTATGTTCATAAGTGGGTGTAACACAATTTTGAACGGTTTGAAACGTGAAATACATTAGCTAATTTATTCCCAATTAAGATCCGATGTTCCCGATACAAAGGCAATATTTACGGGAGTTATAAGAACGTCGGGTCATAATTAAAATAACTAATATATTTTACATTTAAATAAAATACTTTAACGGCTTATAACGCGATATATTTTAGTTAAACTTGTTTGAGAATTATTCAGTCAGGGTGGTGGAAGGGTCAGTCTCTTCCCCTGACCAAGGCTGCTGCAAAGCATCCGAAACGTCGGGACGTGGTTAAAAATATTTCTCAAACAAGTTTAACTAAAATATATCGTGTTTCAAACCGTTAAAGTGTATTATTTAAATGTGTAAACTACAGACAGTATATTTCGCGTTTTAAACCGTCAAATCTTTTCTGAATTAATTAGCAGAGTTCGAAAATTTTGATATTTTTTGCTAAATATGCAAATAGTATCAATAAAGCCTCGCACACAAAATGTCCGCATTAAATTTAATAAAAGCATAGTTTTAACCCGTTATTAAATTACAGGGTGAAAACGAATTTTAATCAAGTATATTAGTTTCGGATCTCGCTTAGCATACATTTGCATACTATGAAGTTTACCCAATATGGTGTAGAGTACATGTAATACACAAATTACATATTGCCAATTTAAGTTCAGAGTTCAGACGAGGTCCAGAGTTCGAAGAAAAAACTCTAGTACATTGTAAAACTTTAACATCGGTGTTTATCATAGAGCAGGAAGGTAAGCGTGGTAACGAAAGAAGCCATATACATCCAAAACAGCTGTCGACCTATTTTTGGCTTTGGAAATTTGGAAACTCACGGATTGAAACGTGATTAAACTTAACGGCTTGACCATCGTTTTCACTGGAATTTCAAAATCACGAAGGTTTTAGAAAAATTAAGAATCGTGTTGGACCTGGTGACCATCCAAACACAACCCGTTAATTATTAGTAGGACATTGGTAATATTAGACCTACGCGTCCGTCAAATGGTTTTGCTTATACATTTCGCGTTTTAAACCGTTAAGTGTTTCATTTAAAAGCTAATGTTAACACCGAACGAGGTGGAGATTCTTTCAAAAATTTAATAAATCGTAAATAAGTTACCTAATAAAAACCGTTTTAAACCGTAAATAATTAATATGTGTGGGTTGACACATTTAATTAAACCGTTAAATA